GGAGTTCGGGCGGGGTATACAATAAGTGCCGTTCTATTCTATGGTGACATAAGCGATGGTAATAGTGGGCACGGCAGAAAAGCCGCTGCTCGCGGTGGTGGTGGTGGTGGTGGTGGTGGGTGGTGGTGGGTGAGCTTTCGAACAACGGCGACATCCCCCTTTCTATCCCCCTCCGAAGCACGACGTCGACGACGGCGTCGTACGTCCTCTATATATGCTCGTGAGCGTCATCACGTTCACTGTATGGCCGTGGCCGGCGGCCGGGCAAAAATGCAGACGAAATCTGATGCAGCTCGAAGCAAGCACACACGGAGCGGTGGTGGTGGTACGGTGGCGAGGGGCCACGCCACGCCACGCCAGCATGAGCGGGATGAGCAGAGAAAGCGCAAACATGCATATCCCTATTCCAAATGCCTGCCGTGCTGTGCTATGCTACTTGCTGCAGCCACCGCGCTTGTTTTTTTTTATATCAGCCGAGTACGATGTGTGCGCTAATTTGACCTTTTCTACCTCTCCCACCGCCTATACTGCCCCCGCCCCCTCCCCCCACTCCACGCTCACCAGCCGGAAATACCTAATTTTCCGGAATCCTGCTGTTACTGCAAAATTTAGGTCCAGCAGCAGGCCAAAGCCCAGTCCCCGCGCCGAGCCGCCAAATAACACCTACATTCTCCCTCTCTCCCTCCCGCTCTGTCTCTGTCTGTCTCTCTTTTCTCTCGCCCCTGCTGACGCCTGACGATCCGAAGATAGGCCGCCCGCTCAAGAGACGTGTCGGCCTGTTGCCTAACCACCAGGCGCCTTCACTGAGCAAACTTTTGCTCTTTTCTCCTCTATCCTAAAAATGTTTTACTTCAAAGCAATTTTTTTTCTGGAATTCCTCTACGCCAGCAGGAAACACGTCATGTCAAGTGTTACTCTGGAATTCACCCCGCACCCTAAAATTGTAAACAAAATCCCCAATAAATCCTGTTAAAAACCCTTCCAAATCGCCTGCTGAAAAAACCTTTCTCTCTCTCTTTCTCCTCCCCTCTCTCTCTCTCTCTCTCTCTCTGCTGTGTGTGCGCTCGTGCGCGCTGCCGGAGGGCGTTTGGAGAACGTGTTTAACCGACCGACATCTCCCGCGACGGACGGGTGAAGGCGCCGCCGGAGCTGTTAATAGGCAGCGCGGCTAAAAGTCGTCCACTCAAACTATATATTTCTCCTCCTAAACGCTCTGCGCGCGCAGTATTTCGTGTGGCCCCTCCCTCTCCCCCCAACCATTTCCCCCGCCCTGCTCCCCCCGTATACTCACGGCACTGCCGACACTCCGGAGCCCGGGGCGCCGCCCGGCGACCCCGACAGTAGCGCCCCGAGGACGGCCAGCCCCAGTACGCCCGCCTGCGAACAAAACAGACGACACAGTCAGGACAAAGTCGGCGGCGAAACATGTTGTTGTTGTTGCGTTGGTTCAAATGCGGGCGCGAACAGGCACACTCGTCCTCGGCTTCAGCTCCTCGCAGTGTGCCCCGTCCTTATGCTTTCTCCGTCCGGGAGGAGGCGATGCTGCTGCTGCTGCTGCTGCTGCAGTGTTCGTGACTGCTCGGGACGACGCGGGGTAAGTTGGCGTCATCGGAGAGTGGCGCCGGGTGGCGCGGCGCCGGCAGCAGGGCGCCGAAAAGTCATTCTGTCTCTGCCAGGAAATGTATGAGAAAAGAGTGCCGCCGCCGCCGCCCGCCACAGCGTTGCGCAACCGGTCCAGGAGGTCCAGCAGCTGCTCTGCTTGGCCAAAATTTAATGGCCCCTCCCTCCCCTTTCTTTCTTTCTCTCCCTTGACTCACACGACACCTAAAACTGTTTCCGCTTCAACACCCCACCGAAACATGTGTGTTCTTCATGTTAGCACACATTTTCCGTGGTCTCAATCAATTTTCTCGAGTGTATTATTGTGCTAGTTCGGAGTAAACAACTGAAGAACAACAATAATAGTAAGGCAACTCTCAACACACAATCAAACGAATAATGTGTACTAAAATAAAGAACACATTTACTGACCCCTATATTATCAATGATATTTTATTTTTTTACGGGGATTGGGGTGGAGGGGGTGGTGGTAAATATGTTGTAAGTGTCACGCACGTGATGGTTGTTCGTATGGCCTTTACGCCTGGTTTAAAATGCCCGAGGGAAGGAGGGGGGGGGGGCGTCCTTCTCTCTCCTCCGCCTCCGACTTGCGTTTTTTTTCTTACCGCACTTCTTACTGCAGACGGTGGTGGTGCTGGTGGCGTGACACTGGTCATTTTTCACGACCACCCTCTGAGCAGCCCTCCCGCTCGCAGTGACACCACTTGAATTAATGAGACGCGACGCCTTGCACTTCTAGGAAAGAGGAACCAGTCTGCGAATAATGGCATAGCGACTCTACGGCATCCTCCCACGCACCACAGCCGCGCTCATATTTCTAACCCCTTCTCCGCCTTTCTCTTTCTTTTTAATTCCATCGGTAGAATTAAAATTTTCGGATTAAACAAGATACCCGCTTCCAATGAAAACCATATCCATAAATTGTTTTCTACTAATAACATGGGTGCTAATTCATTAAATTTTTTTTGCATCGTCTTTTGACGCTGACTTTCTTGTTAATCCCAACATATCATAAAAAGGCGAAACGCTGTTCTGTTGCTGCCGCACTCTTTGTGTGGTGTTTAAGTGTCTAAATTTTACGATGCGGCCCTGGGGCTGCGAGAGCGGCACTTCTAGATCTATGTAAATCGCGCTCTCGGACATTAGTAGAGAGGTGTGTCTGTGTGTGTGTGTGTGTGTGTGTGTGTGTGTGTGTGTTAGAGGAAGAGAGAGAAGGGGGGGGGCGATCTCGATGGCGGCTTGCGCGCCCCCACAGCGCTTTGCTTGCTTGCGTGTTCGCGCCAAATCGCCTCGCGGTGTTTGTTGTTGGCGGTGCGCGTGTGCCGCGCGTGAGAGAGAGAGAGAGAGAGAGAGAGAGAGAGAGAGAGAGGGGGGGGGGCGGTCGGGCACACGCGCGCACCGCACGCGTGGCGTTTCATGGCGGCGGTGCAGCAGAAAGAAATAATAGTAGTAGTAAATAAAAGTGAATCAATTACACTCAGCAAACCTCCATCATACAGCCATCATAAGGCACACGCCTTGCGCTGGCCCGGTGGTGCATAAAGTGTGGGCGCCCCAGCGCAGCAGCCACGCGATGCACTTCCGAAAGGGAGAGCGACAGAGCAACGTAATCGGCAACGTTGCACCCGAGGGATACATCACCCAATAAAAATCAGAGCACACTGTAAAGATGGATTCAGAGTTCACGAAACGCAAGCGTGATTTTCACGCAAAGCGTGATTTTTCACGCAAAGCGTGATTTTTCACGCAAAGCTTGATTTTTCACGCCAGGCGTGATTTTCCACGCTTCGTAAGCTTCACATAGCCAATCAGGAACCGACTTTCATCACGCCTGGCGTGAAAATCACGCCTAGCGTGAAAATCACCCTCGCGTTTTGGGAACTCTGTATCCACCTTTAAATATTGAAGTTACAAATTTACAACAAATTTCTTGAGAATCTTTATGATTGATAATGTTATTATGTTGTTATACAGCATTTATTATAGCACAAAAATTATTGTAAAATTACAACAATTTTTTTTTGCTATCGAACCAACAGATGTGTTGTTATTCGACGTAATTCATTTTTTATTAACAATCGTCTGCCATATTATAACAAGAAATTTTAATTTTCAACAAATGAAATTGAACGGTAATTGTCTTCCACCCCATCGTCACCCACGCCACGCGCTCTTCTCCTCGTGCGCCGTTTCGCGGCGTGTCCAACATTATCTCTGGCTTGGAATCGCGTCCATTATTCGCAAAATACCGTCGATTTTCGCGCGCCCGCCGCCGCCGTCCACAACTCGGCGCGCGATGGGTATCTCATCCCCCGAGGCGCTGCACCGGCCGCACACCTGCAGCTGCAGCAGCTGCAATACCATCTCTACCCGTAAATCTCTGTGCTGGGGCTGCTTGCTGCTTTGCGTGGCGCGAGGGGGGCGGCTGTATATAAATCGCAGCACCGCACACTCACAGGTGCACCACGCGGCGCGCGCTTTTGCTTATAGGTTCTTCGTGAATGAGTCTGAGCGTGAGGGGGGCTGCGGG